GCCGCAGGCAGCCGTGCAATTTACCTAATGACGTTTCGGCTCTCGATGGCCTTTGTCAATGGTTCACGGGTCTTTAACGAACGTGTCCGTAACATTATTCGTATTTATAATTGTATCGTTCCTTGGTTGTCTGGTTTAACAGGTGTCTGGTTTTTTTGTTGTTGTGTACTCACGCATGTCCTTTATACGCTCATTGATGTTTCTGTTCGGTGGATAATAAAAAGGGACGTTCGGATCCTAATGTATATATATATGTATACTGGTACTTGACGAGTAACCATGCTAGTAAACGAGCAACTCCGGAATCATTCATTCATGAAAATTTTGATCGATGATGTAATTTTCCCAAGCCACCACCGCACGGAAGCATTGAACGATCGATAATTACTTTTTCTCTAAAGTCACGCCATCCTGGGCTTCTGCACGCTACCTCACGTGACTGTAGTACCGTACGGCGTGTCTTTACCCACCCCACCTACCTCGTGCGTCGTGTTGGAAGTCGTTGACATTCGAGCTTTTTTCGTAATTAAATTGTATTATATATATATGATTATATGAATAACTAGAGCCTGGATAATATTGCTTGTTTACAAGTGCAGCTTTTAATGTGCGGTCCGTTGGGTTCGTCGATTTGGAGGTTAGTTTACCGAAAGACTCTCAGTGTCGTAATTTCGAGCATTGTTCTACGAGGTCTTGAGACTTTCCTGAAACGGATCAATATTCAGTCCATTAGCCGACGGGACGGCAACTGCGGACGACTGAGAAGGTCGAAGGGTTTGTGCCTTCCTATTGTGTATCGTGTTACGTGTCAGGAGGACGTCACCTAAAATGGCGCACCCCTTTTGCCCCCTTTGCCACGCTTGTCCTACCGCATGAAGAGCAGAGTTATTTTTCTTGAGTTATGGAACCCCAATAGCTTCGTTACTGCGCATGCGCGGAATTATTATTACGAACGATTAAGGAATTCTTATATATTTTTGTATTTATTGGGTTAATCGGAATCTGAACAAATTCACTGCATCTCGTGAACGTGCCTGTCGGGCGGGAAATTTAAACTTGTAGAATTACGGCAGCGACGACCAATCGGCATCGCGGAGAAAAGCTGAGAGAATTTCGAGATATTTTCGATACTCGACAAATTAACTTTGAATAGGAATTTTGTAAGAGGGAAAAAAAGGAGCTCTACTGTGTCACTTGTTATATATATAAACCGTACTAGAGTATATATGTATATAGCTTACGGATCCATGGTGTATCTCTCTACCCCATGTCCAGGAAGACAACCCTTCGCTCGTTGTCATGGCTACCGCGGGAAGACGTGTCATGATATGTAAATTGAACCGGCGAAGTCGCTTAATCCTATCAGGCTTTAAGGTTATGTGCAATCGGCGATAATTTTCACCAAATTCCCTTCGGCTTGAATATTCATTTTTGCGAACTGACTGACGAATACGAGAAAATAAAATGTTACTATTTTCCTTATTTTTTTTTTTTTTTGTAATTTCCAGTAAACATTTCTTTTTTTCATGTTCATATACGTTACCGTTAATCACCCCGTACGTTACATACATACACGAGTATATTTCGCAGAAGGAAGATTTTTACCGCGCGTCAAAGAATCAATATAATTACCTCTAATTAGATATGTGGAAGTCAAGAGCCGTGTCGATTATGCAATTACCAGTGGGTAGGGTCGTGCAGCAAATTGCATAGGGGGAATATATATCTATAGTAGGTGGAGGGTGGGGGGGTGGTGCATTGGTGTCAAAAGGCACGAAGCCCCCAGTAGCTGGATAAAAAAAAAGAATAGAACTGTACCTTCGTCCATGGTTTTA